GTTGAGCTGTTGTTCAGCATCTTAGCTGTAGAGGGCAGTGTCACTGGCCCTCATATGTGGGATCCGAACCGGGGCCCTCTGGCGTCCCACGCCAGTTCTTAACCATCACACCACTCGGCCGGCCCTAAAGGTTTTTTTTTTAAGGTATATAGTGTTGCTTGTTTTCCTCTTCCAAGTCTCTGGATAACATATTTTTTCATTTTTCATGTAGCGAGCATCCCAAAATAGAATTTTACTTGAAGAACTTTACATCAGCCAAAGACGTTTTGCTTGCTATAAAGGAAGTAGGTTTTCGAGGTGGTAATTCCAACACAGGTAAGTAGACTTTGGGATCTGGGATGTAACACAAGAGAGGGCTATGAATGATCACATATGTGAAACTATTATGCTCTTTTATATAAGATGTGATACGCTTTCTCCTGGCACTGAAATGTTGGCTAGGTGTGTACTTGATTATCTGAGATACTCAATTTGTAATGGAAAATATACCAAAGGGTTAATTGATGTGTCTTATTTAAAAAAAATATATATATATATATATAAGCATTGTGATTTATAATCGTTACATTGAATGAGGCAGATGTCACTTTAGGGAAGTACCTTTTTGGAATGCTAAAAGCAAGCAAAGAGCAACAGACTTATCTAATGAATGCAGATGCCAGGGAAAGAACTAGAGTAGTAGCACTACAGACCCTCTGAAGGGAGACTTCTTGTTCTGAGTCCTTAGAGGTACTAGTCAAGTCACTAAGGGGCCAGATAGAGAGCGCAAGTACCTGAATGAGAATCAGTTCTGTGTTTCTAATGATTGATGTGCTCGAAGGAAATGTGAGACTTCTGGGAGGGAATGGGGTATGTCATGTGGGTTGTGAAGACAAAAAAATAGGCCTGACAGATTAGACTTTCCCATCTTATGCATCTATTATACAACCGGGCTCTATGTAAAATCCTTAAACTAGGTGGCATCAAGCTGGTACAGGGGAATAGAAATGTCATTTGAGCAGTGGTGCTGGTCCAGTTTGCTTCTTTTTTCAAACCTAGGAAAAGCCTTGAAGCATACCGCCCAGAAATTCTTCACACCAGAGACTGGAGTGAGAAAAGGGATCCCCAAAGTGGCGGTGGTATTTATTGATGGCTGGCCTTCTGATGACATCGAGGAAGCAGGCATTGTGGCTAGAGAGTTTGGTGTAAATGTATTTATAGTTTCTGTGGCCAAGCCTATCCCAGAGGAACTGGGGATGGTTCAGGATGTTGCATTTGTGGACAAGGTAAGGCAGTGAGGGGTGTCTTCTGTTAGGGTAGATTCCCTTTTGAACCTTGAGGCACAGTGCTGACTGGCCCATATCTGGATTCAGTTTGAACGTTCAAGAGTTAATGTTTTCATAACTTCGAAGAAGAAACAACTTTTGACCCCTTTGGATATCTTTTGTCTCCCTGCCCCCCCATTAGGCCGTCTGTCGGACCAATGGCTTTTTCTCTTACCATATGCCCAACTGGTTTGGCACCACAAAATATGTCAAGCCCCTGGTCCAGAAGCTCTGCACTCATGAGCAGATGATGTGCAGCAAGACCTGTTACAACTCAGTGAACATTGCCTTTCTAATTGACGGCTCGAGCAGTGTTGGAGAGAGCAACTTCCGCCTCATGCTCGAATTTGTTTCCAACATAGCCAAGATTTTTGAAATATCAGACATTGGTGCCAAGATAGCTGCTGTACAGTTCACCTACGATCAGCGCACAGAGTTCAGTTTCACTGACTACAGCACCAAAGAGAATGTCCTCGCAGTTATCAGAAACATCCGCTATATGAGTGGCGGCACAGCTACTGGTGATGCCATCTCCTTTACCATGAGAAATGTGTTTGGTCCCGTGAGGGACAGCCCCAACAAGAACTTCCTGGTAGTTGTCACAGATGGGCAGTCCTATGATGATGTCCGCGGCCCTGCTGCCGCTGCACAAGATGCAGGTAACGTCCTTGTCCTTGGTCTGGGAAGGGTCATGAAGAAGGGGTTCTGGGAACACTAGGAGTAAATATAAATGAAAGCATTTATTTTATTGAACAAACACCTATGGTGTCGCAGTCATGTTCTAAAGCTTTACCCCTTGTTAACTGATTTAATTGTCAAGGTGGCTCTACTCATCTCATTCCACAGATAAGGAAACAAACTTCCCCAAAATGCACAGTAAGTGGCGAGGCCAGTGTCCAAACCCAGGCAGTCTTACTGAGTCCACACTCCTAACCACTGTATTGCTGAGGGAAATACCAGGAGAACCCTGTCATGTGTTAAGGAAATGTTACAGGTTCTCGCATTTGGCTCAAACTTGGAATATATCTACCCCCGCCCTCCCCATCACAGTTTATCAAAACTTACTATGAATCTACTTGATAATTTAACTTTTAAGTAGTTTTCAGTCTGGCATACATTTTCTTAAGATGATAAGGTCAAGGATAAAGACTTTAATTCTATCTAAACTTCCTTTTTAGTCTTTTTTTCTTGAGATAATGAAAACACTCTGATGTTCTAAAAGGGTATAAAAAGACTTTCTTTCTCCCTTACCCCAACCTTAGTATTACTTTTGGCAAAGCCACTAGTTCCTGAAGAATTAGCATAGTGTGTTGCTGAGATCAAATAGGCCAACAAAAAGCTGAAGTTCCTTGGCTGCCATAAAACTGAGTGATTGGAGTCCAATATTTAAAAACAAAAATGCTAACTTGGGAGGGGGGAAGTAGCAGTCTTCCATTTTCTTTTCTTCTTTTTTTTAAAGATTTTATTGGGGAATTAGAGCAGGGGAACAGCGCTGGGGAATTGGGGGAAGGGGAACAGACAAGTTGCTGTCCTTTTGTTCTTCAGTCTAGTTGTGGAGGACGTCGCTTCACTGNAGTGTCACTGGCCCTCATATGTGGGATCCGAACCGGGGCCCTCTGGCGTCCCAAGCCAGTTCTTAACCATCGCGCCACTCGGCCGGCCCCCTGCATTATTTCTTGATAGCTAGATTCCTGCAGTTCTAAAACATTCTTAATCATGTAACATATTACTGAGTTTTCACTCTGTGCCAGCCATTGTTTTAACTTCCATGACAACTCTACAACTGTACGAGGTAGGTACAATTTTACTCCATTTGACAGATGAAGAAACATACTACAAGTGTGTTCTTATCAACACTTACCTTCAACAGCACAAAAACATTTTCCCAGGCAGATTTTGTGCCCGTGTAAGCAAGTTTTTAAAAAGGCTTGCAGCATCCTTAGATGGCTTTCCTGCTGAGCTATTTTCTTGATCAGTCAGAGCAATAGATGCAATATGGCACAAATCAGTCGGATGCCCCTGAAAAGTGTGGATAGAATCTCAGCTGTTATTCTTGTGTTGCAGGGGAGTCATCAGCATCTCAGGGGGACCTGTGCGAATCTATAGCCTACCAGGTCGAGAAAACTATTCCTCAGTAATGGCCAATGACATTCAGTCTCAAACGCTTGCCTGGTGGTCTGCGTCTTTCACAGTGACAAGTAGGTACAATCACATTGTTCTTGCTTTTGTGTAAATATTGCTTCCCCGCTGCCCAAAATAAGTTTTCTGCTTTTCTCAGCCCCACCTCTTTGACTTGGATAGAAAAACCTGTGCTCAAGACTGAAGGGGTCAACTGTGGGTTAGATTCAGGGGACCCAAAGTGTCAAGGATCCACTGAAGCCACACTTGGATAAATGGGGGAAGAATAATCTTGCTGTCAGGATGGCAATGGTCTGCCATCAGAATGCCCTGGCATTTACCAAGTAACACTAAATTAAAAAAAAAATACTACTGATGAATGCATATGAATTCATTTGGGTGATCCTTTTAAAATATCTAATAAATAAAAATCCATTTTGGTTCTTTGAAACCAGAATGTAGCAGTTACTCCTGCAGCTGCCATCCTGTATTTCATTTATCATCCTATAGGACCCTACATTAGATTTATTATGCTTTGATGGTAAAGAAGGAAGAGGTAAAAATAACCTCTTTATTTTAACAGAAGGCAAAAGTGGTACCCAGGAAGCCACAGGACAAGCAGTGTCCACAGCACGTCCATCAACAGGTATGAAATATGGAACCTATAGTTGCCTGGCACAGTATTGGGAAAGTCTTTCAGAATGATACTTGGCAGGAGTTTTTCCCTATGTGGGCTTCTTGCTATGGAACCATTTCCCTTTTGCTAAGGCCAAATGCTTCCTTTGTTTAAGGTAAACGACTGAAGAAAACACCTGACAAGAAAGCTGGCAATAAAGGTAAGAGTTCAGATATCCATTTGGGAAAATAACAAATCCTTCCTCCTTCCCTCCTTCCTCTTGAAACTGCTAATGGAAAGATTTGTTTGGGTGTTCACAGACTGTAAAGCAGACATTGCATTTCTGATCGATGGAAGTTTTAATATTGGGCAGCGCCGATTTAATCTACAGAAGAATTTTGTTGGGAAAGTGGCCCTCATGTTGGGAATTGGAACAGAAGGACCACATGTGGGTCTTGTTCAAGCCAGGTACCAACCTTGTTAACATGGGCGACTTGAATGATGCTTTGAATGATGACAAATGATCAATCCTTTTAGTAGGTACATTCATTTCAGTTCAATATAAACTGAGTTGTGAACAATCTGGATTCCCAAACTATAAATTCAGGATTTCCGACTGCCTGAACAGACTGGGTAGGTCTAAGTGCTTTCTTTTTGGAATAAAAGGATTTAGAGAATTATATGCTATTTGAGGACCGGAAGATAGACTAAAAGGCCTTGTTGCTCATGCAAATTATCTCTGCACACCTACTCTGCTCAATTCCTAATTTCTCTTGACTGAAGGAAGAAACAGTGATAATGTCTATTCCTCCTCTCTATTCTGTGGTTATTCTTTTCAGCTCTTTCCATAGTCCCTTGATTGGAGGTCTGAAGTTTGACCTTTTAATTTGTATTCATTTAAAAATATTTATTGGTGGCTTTTAGGATTATAATATGCTCATTGTAAAAAATTTGAAAGCCTTTTATGTATAAAGCACAATTTCCTAAATATACCCCCTTGAGATAATCACTGTAAAATGTTTTATTTCCTTTCAGTATTTAAAGAAAATATTTAATTGTACATGTGAGTGTATTTCTTTTTCAAAAGCTCAGGCTATAGAATTGCCTTATATTCTGTTTTTTTAGCCTTTAGTATTCTGAGCATTTTACCATATCACAAATATTCTTCGAAAAATGATGCTTCATAATGTTCCTTTACTTAATTATTTAGCCATTCTTCTATTGCTTCTTCACCATTACATACTACACTGTGACAAACATCCTTATGTCATCTGTGCCATCTCTGATTTAGCTAGATTCCTAGAAGTGAGATTGTGTTAAAGGGTTCTGACATTTTTAAGGCTTCTGAAATAAACAGTTAAATTGCTTTCTAGAAAGTTGTAAGTGTGGATGTAAGGTTCTCACCAGTATTGTTATAAAACTAATTTATATTTCATTTGTTCTTACGCTATTTTTTACAATTAGTTCTTAATTTAGATAGAATTTTTTGGTGTGAGACTTTAACTTCATTTTTCTACATAATTTAACCATTTGTTCCACACCTTTTGAAAAATGAGTTTCTTTTTTTTTTTTTTTTTTTGCTTGACCATCCTGCTACCTATTGGCAGCTCAGCTCAGGCTGGACTCGAACTGCTGTTGCTCAGAGCTCAAACTCTTGAGCGAGCTCTTAACCAACTGAGCCACTCGGCTGGCCCGAAAAATGAGTTTCTTATTCCATTGATTGTGATATAAATTTTATGTACAAATTTAGGCAAGTCTGTTTCTTTAATCCAGTTGTTAATTCTCACATCTTTTCTACAATACCTTGATTACTGTAGCATTCTTTATTATACATTTTAACATCCCATAGGGCAAACTCCCCTTAGTCCTTTTTTATATTTTTACTTTGCTATTTTTACCCAATTCTTTTTCAAGAGGAAAGCTGCACTACCTTGCAAACTCATACAAAGATTAGCTTCACTCTAAACTTCCTAGTATACAGTTTTTTCTATTTTAGAAAGAACATTAGACAAGATAAACTATGTCAAGAGTTTCTATTTCAGCAGAAAAACAGAATATATCATTAAGGATGCAAAAATAAGAGTAAATGTTATATCATAATTTGGATAGTTGAAAAGTAACCATAAATGTGAATCATCAACATATGAAATCTGATTTTGTGACCTAACGTTCCACCAAGTATATAATCATACCATCAGGTATGCAGAAATACAATCAGTGCTATTATACTTGTATCTCAAAAAATATTGACTTAATGGCAAATGATACTGCCAAGATCTTAAAATTTTGCACTTATAAAATATTGACTTATCTAAACTTAACACAACAAATAGTGCTTTAACTGTTTTTACTCAACATGGCCTCTAATAAACACAGAGCCATTCTAAAAGTGAGCTGAAATCCTTTTAATAAATAGGGCAATAAATAATAAATATGGAAAAATCTCAAATCTCTTACAAGACACATAAGTTTAAGATTAGCAAATTTCAATATCATTTATAATAAGATAAATTCAATATCGTAATACTTTGTAATTCATTGCCTTCTAACTTTTCTCATTTTAAAAATGTTGGCCTTTGTGTCATTGAAACTGTCTCTTCTGACCAGAGACCTGGGTGACCAGACCCAGGCTGTTCAGTGCTGGGGGGTCCCCACAGGAGCATACCTAGCCTCACACCAGGCTGGCTTCCAATATCTGATGCCCAACTTTGCAGAGTTCCATTAAGCCCAGTGCCCTGAGCCATGCCTGGTGTCAGGTGCTCCATACAGTATAGGCATGGACTTTGGATCAGACAAATCTGAGTTTCAAGTGCAGCTATGTTTTGGTGGGAAAATTTACCTAAATGCTCTGAGCCTGTTTCTTCGTTTATATGATAGGGATAATAATTTTTACCTTATAGAGTTATATGCAATGAGATTACACAT